TTATGTGGGATCTTCATAAACCAGAGATTGCATTGTGGCAGTTTTTCCTAATAGGCAGAAATGGATCTGTCCTCCATTAGGTCTGATCTGTTTTTATCATTCTCCACTATTGACTCCACAACAGCTCTGACAGTAAACTCTGAAAATTAATTTCTTTGCGTACCAGGAAAAAAAAAAAATCTTTATTAATTTCAAATCTTTCCTGCTTAATCTGGAATAAGCCAAAATGGGAAGAACCACAAGTGACACAAAAGCAGAGCCCTTGGCAGCTAGGAAGGAGGAAATGGAGCGTATAATGGAGGGCACACACTTTCCCTCATATGATTTGAGTGGAAGGAGTCCCTGAAGTGGGAGTAGGAGGCTGATAAGCAAGAAACTTATAATGTGAAATGGTGGCCCTGCTATGAACGTTTCGTGTTTCTCTATTCTGTTTTACTTCAAGGAATGTATGGTATGAATAGTTAAAGGTGAACAGAAAGTATTTCTATTTCCTCCTTCCTACCCATCAGGATGCATGCGATTCCCCATTTTCTGTTCTGGCTGCTCCTGGGTTTGCTCATTTATAACTAGTGCTGCATACTTAAGGTCTACTGTAGACTGAGCTCTCTGCAAAGGGTGTTCCTTGCATCCATCTTCGACAACATGAGCTTCTTTTATGATGCTTTCCTATCTCCCTCTGTGTTTTCACATGGGAGAAGTGCTACAGTCTCTAAGATAGTTATTTGTTTCTTTTTGACATGAAAACCAGCCTCTTAGAAGGTCAAGTTTTGAATACTGCTGGTTATGAGAGGTGTTAATGGCTATTATCAATGGTTGTTTCATCAGCAGGCAATTACAGAGTGGGCTACAACTAATGGGTGTGCTGATGTGCTAACCAGATGCGAGTTCTGCATCCTCCTCTTTCTTAACTTCACCAAAATCGGTTAGATTCTCCTTTCCAATGCTAGAATGCTACATCCAAGCTTGCAGTTGATTAGATGTGATATACAAAAAATTATGAAATGATGTCCATAAAAATAGAAAAACCATATCAATTTTAGGTCAGATGATCATTTTACTCAAGCCCATAGAGTCACGCTTTTAAAAATTATAGGATATAATAATTCTTAGTATTGTAAACAGAAAATTTTGCACTAAGGTAATTATCACTTCCTTCAAACAGAGAGTCCTGTTGTTTTATATATACAGCATTTGAGTCCTTAAGACTCATCATTGTTATCTGGATCATAATTGTGAGTACTTATCCTAGCCTTGTGCCATTTTAGGCATGTTTATTTTGATCCATGTTCCAAACTTTCTTTTATATCGTTTGAAGTTACACCGTCTTCGAAAGTTAAAAACTTCCAATTTAAGTAATTGAGCCAGGAAATATTCATCATGTGTTTCCTTTAAAGTTTATATTTTGCATTGAATTTTCTATTCTTTTTGGAAACCTGGTGAAGGCACAAAGAAATTAATGCTGATGCATAAACATTTGTTATATAATTTAGTTGGGTTTTTTTTCATAACTGTGTATGATGGAGACATTTGTTCTTTTGATGTAAAATCAGAAGGTAAAGACATACAAATTTAGAAGACTGTAGCATGGGAATATGTTTTTAAGAGCATTGTTTTGACTCGATCATGTGTTAATACACCTGATTGTCTGATTGTGAAAGAAGATAAGTGAGCATGTGACAGAAAAGATTATTATTTTTTTTTTTTAGTTTTACAGAATATGAGGTGGATTCATAATTAACAAGAAAACATTCTATGATAAAAAAAAAATTGGTATGTCTGTGGTACCTGCATTGGCTTAACTGTAGAGCTCAGTCTTCTGTTTGGATTTTCTTTGTCAGCTTTGGAACAGTGGAGGTAGCCTGCAGGTGATAAGCATCCCATTAATCTTTGTGATCCTCTAGCACTTGAGCATGAGAATCGCTGATCAATTACAGCAATTGTCTCCCTAAATGAGCTTTGCACATCTGCCTCTTATTTCATTAGTTAACTGTCTGCCCATATATCTGATAGAATGGAATCCTAGTGGCTTCTTACAGCTTGTTCTGTGTTACTGTACAATAAGGATGGGGTTGTTAGCAAAACGGGCACAAAAGGATATTTATCCACTACTGGCAATAAATATACTTGCTATTGTGTAGGAGTGCTTTTGTCTCTAATCGCTGTTTGTAAAAACCTACTTAAAGCACATCAGTTTGCTTTTCAGCTTCCTGTTTAGTCCTTCCTTGTAAGCTTTATATTTGTGTATTTATCATTTTTGTAAAACAAAGTGTTTCCGTGCCCTTAAACCAACATGTCAATGTGTGGCCTATATGATTTTAGATAACAGAAGCTACCATATATAGTTCACAGTAGAATTGTAATTTCCTCCTTGTCTCTTTGCAATGTATCTTTTAAATGCTTAGGTATTATACCTTTCTCTCAGAAAGTAAATTTGCATTTCCAAAGCTCCAAAGAAGTATTTACAATAGTGGCAACGTTATTAGGTATTAATTATTCAAATTGAGTACAAAACAATGAGTAACAATTACACTGCATTATTCAAAGTTTGATTTAAGAAACATGGACTACAAAGTATGGGTTATAATTTTAATTTAAAAAGATTTCACGTTAATGCCTCTTTCATTAATATTCAAGTTTTCAATTACAGGTATATCAATTAATTCCTAAGCAGAGGCCTTATTCCCTACCTGTTAATATCTGATCAGGTTATTCTTAAGAATTCACAGGATTTAGTTTTCAAAGATAATTTTCTTATCTTTATCATATATTAAGTTGCTTTGGATGATATAGGTAGGTATTTATTTATATATTTGTTTGTTTGAATGGTGAACTGAGCTAAATGCCAAAAAGACTTAATTAAAAAAACATTCTGTCCTGAACCTGGTACAGATTATTCCAGGTGATGCTTTGATGCTCTCTGAACGTTTAAGTATGTTTGAATCTGAAATTCTCAGATAATTCTGCTTGAAACTTGTTTCAGTGAATTTGCATGATAAAAATATACAGCACAGATACTTTATGGGATTTCTGAAACCATGGAGCTATAATAAATAACTATCACCAATCTTTTAAATTCATTGTTGACTATTTATTGCAGGTCTGGTTTGTATGAAGTCGAGTACTTCAGTGGTTGAACTTGTTATGCTGCTTTGTTCACAGGTAAGACATTCTCTGCTTTTAATTGTATTGGTTTCTTTGCATAATGCTGGATTACTGCCAGTCTAAGAATCGCATCTTGCTGTTTGCTTCATTCTTCCATTTCAATATAAGAAAATAGAGATTAATATTTTCTAGTAGCATATAAGTTGTAGATTTTTATTTTTTTATACAGTCCATAGCATCTCTATATTCACAGGGCTTACAATGTGTATTTTCATTTGTTTTGAAAAGTGTACGGATGTAGATTATGCACTTTTTCTGTACATGAACTCTTTCAAGCCAGTTCTAATTTGGAATGCATAAATAGGATACTGTTTTCATAATTTTGTGTTAAAATCTGTCTCTGTATTGGCAATTTTTTTAAACCTTACTTTGTGGTGACTTTATTACTTTCTGTATACATGAAATAACTTACTGCATATTTTATATAGCTGTCTATATATAAAAAGGAGAAGAACATGGCTTAGGTAGTCCTCAGGAACTGGCAGAAGCAGAGCAGTTCTGTTTAAAAAATGCTGCGGTTAATTTTTATTTTTTTTTTTAGCATGGCAGTAATGGGTTTCTCAGAGATCTGAATCAATTAACGTTTTGAATTTCTTTCACAAGTAAAATATTCAAAACTAAAATAACTCCTCATACTGTTTGGATTGTTTACATGTCAATTTTAAATTTATTTGTTTTGTCAGAAGTGTTATTGGCTAAATTAATATATATATAGCCTTTTACTTTAAAAGGCCAGTAATAAGTTATCACGAAACATTTTAGAATTTTGCTCATTTTGTAAAATATAAGAAAAATATAATGGCCTGACAGATTCCAATAACTTCACAAGTTTTTACACTTCTCTAAAGACTTATTAACAGTGTTTCATTTACCAACTTCCCCCCAGATTTATAATACCAGCTAAACTCAAACCAAGTTAGTATATAAAATTCCCAGGTTAACTTGTTACATCATTACCAAGGAAAACTAGTTGTTTGTAGTTTTACTTCAGCATTCACTGCTGCATATTGAGAACATACATGAAAAATGTACTGAAAACAAATGAGTTTCTAGGGGTAATTGCAAGGAAAATCTACTTTTGAAGAATCTACCTGAAAATAATTAACATTTACAACTGATTTTGGGGAGGGGATTCCAACTTACCTGCTTTTTGCCAGTCCATAGGTTGCGTTTCTTCAAGCTTGTGTCATAAGGAAATCATTAAATCTTGTTTTCCCCCTTTTTTTTTTCCCTCTTCCTTTATTTTTTTTTTTCCCCTCTTTTAGCCAGGGTGAATATTGGTTAGGGAAAAGTAAAACAAAAATACATCCCTGGCAGGAATCCTCAGTGGGGTTTGAACTTCAAACCTGCTCCAGCAGGGCACTTGAAAAATTTGTTACCTAATGGTGAAGTCCTGGGTTCCAGGAAAATTCCAAAAGATCCATTAAGGCTCTTGAGCCCTGTGTTCATGTCATACAACATATTTTTTTTTCTTTTTTTTTCTTTTTTTTTTTTAAGCAGCTTTTGAAACCTTGTCTTGAACCTTTTCTTGAGGGAAGGAATAACTTACAGTTCTTTCTTCTCTAGCCTTTGGGTTTACTGCAGTTCTCAGGAATAAAGTGGAATGTAGCATTAGGGTCTAGTGTCTTTGATGGCCTCATCATCTAATCATAGGTTTAACATTACTCATTTGCTGGCTCCAGGAATTCCTGCCATTAAGGGCCCTAGAGATGAAACTTTGCCTCAAATATTGATTGAAAGGAAGAGAGAGAAATTTAAGCTCTTTCTGCAGTGCTTTTTCTTTAGACATCCCAGTAAAGCTGTGTAACAAATGCAGCTAAATCGATTTGTTATTTTTATGACTATTATACGTTATTTATTATTTCAAAGTATTTGACTATTTTAAAAATAAGCTTTATTTTATACCTGAATAATGTGACGAGCCTAATCTTTTTCAAGTCTTGAACATTTATTCATTTTCTTCAATGTTTGCTTGGGACGGCTATTTTCCATCTACCTGATTACTTGGGAGAATTGCAAGCTTTTAGTTTTTACACCCCATCTGATACTTCAGGGTTGTTTCCTTATCTTTTAAATATGGAAAATTTTGTGTCCTGATGTCCATTTATTATTAAGTGCTTCAGAAGCTAATGCTGTAATGTTTGTTGGTGATGTTAAATGTTTCTACAGGACTTGGTCAATAGGGGGCTGTAGTGGTGCAAATTGCATTTTCCTCCCCTCACCTTCCTAAATCTAAAAGTAATGCTTCTGTAAATTGCATCTGCACAGAATATTGTATTTAATCCTGTAGGTGTACTGAACGGTCAGGTCTGTAGTTCTATACATCTGCAGGGAAAAAATACCCAGTTTTTTCTATTTACATTTTAAAATTATTTGTCAAAAGAAAGCATGAGGTAAATGCTATAAAAATACTGATGGATAGAAGAAGAGAATGGCAGACAGACAAATAGCGTAATCAAGCCTATAGCTAACAGAACTTGGAACTGGCAGTTTAGGAGATGTTGCCCACAGCAAATGAGGTTAACTCATCTCAAAAAAAAAAACCCCAGAGAGTCCTACCTGAGCTTTTCCATATGATAAATTGAGTAATATGGACCGGAAAGACTATATAAAGTACGGCGGTTTTTAATAATCCTAATTAACTAGGGCTTTTCTACCTCACATGGGTAAATCCTTCATATTCAAATTGAATGACATTTTACAGATTATGTGGGGAAGTTTGAAATGTGTCATTCAAAAGATAGATGACGATATTAAAAGCCTTTGAAAAGTACAATTTTGTTTGCACAGAACAAGGTAACTTTAGACATTGAAAAGGAAAGGGAAATGCAAAGTTTGTTTTCCTTTCATTTGCTACAGCAAATTAGATGCTTTTATGCTCTTTATGTTGGAAATTCCATGTTAACGACTACAGATTAGCAAGGATGTCAGGATTTTTTTTCTTATCTGAGCTCCTGAATAAAATCAACATTGCCAGCGGCTCACGTCCAAGGTATGGTCTAAATTTACATGAAATATCACATTACAAATGTCTGAAGGTACATGTCATGGATAATTCAGTTCATATGGGCAGCCTTTTAGACTCTGAGGGATATGCAATCAAGCCTTTCCCCCAAAGGAATTTGGAGTTTCTGTGAAAAATACATTTTAAGTTTTAAAGGAACTCCTGTAAGGGTAGTGCATCATTTGTGGGTTTGGGGAAGAACAAAAAGTTCTACTCTTTGTATTTTCAGAATCTCTCTTGTGCTGTAACTTGCTTTCCTGCACCCATTTTATTTTTCCCTAGTATCACCTACTTCACTAGATTAAAATTTAGGTTAATTTGAAGACTTTATTTTCTTTATTTCTTATATGAACCAAAAGCATACATCCAGGGACTTGACATATATTTTTTCTAGATAATTAATAATAAACATATAATGATTTTCACTTTTCATAAAACAGGCATTTTCATTTGGATTTAGTCTATTTTAACATAAAACGGATGAAGATGTGTTATGTTTGACAAGATCTGTGCTTGATTAGCTGGTCTTTGTTCCCTCAGCCTAGTTGAGCATGTCACAGCTGTGTTGCTGTTGGAGTGGCAGATTTCTTCAATAAACCACACAATTTTTTAAAAAAATACATTAATTTTTGCAGTGTAGCTCCTTCTTACATCAGATTTAGATTTCAACTACTTTTTTCTCTTTCTTTCTTATTTTTTTTTTCCCTAGCCAAAACACTACAATAGTTTCTAATTACTTCCAGATCTTTTGCAACTTTTTCTCTTTGGGGATACAGCTTCTGCAGAAACTGAATGATGTTATCCCAAAGGAGTTTTATCTCATGCCGCTTGTATTTTTATGTATCTTATCTATTAACAGGGGAAATTTATTTTCTTAAATGGAAAATACTGTCTTAGTATTTAAGAAATCTTGCTACTTGACCTGTTTAAAAATATAACTGTTATAATGGATAAATGGTTGCTTTTGGGAAAAAATGCTATGTCATTTGTGATTATAGAATATGTGTAGAATATCTGACGAGTTTCAGGGTTTTGTAGTTTTCATTGGTTCTGTTGATTTCTTCTCCCCCCACGTTGGAAGTTTGATCAAGATTGTAATTCAGGAGCCTCCAAAGGAAATATCAAAACTAGAATGAAAATAATCCGCTTCTGAATCACTATGTTGAGGAAAAAGATTTCTTTTAGATGATATCCCTTTTAAATGGGCTTTTATTAAAAAAACTGTATGAGGAATAAGGAAAAGGATATACATGACCAAGAAATGCTTTAATTAAAACTGGCAATTAAAACCTGTTAGGAGATTCTCAAATAAATGATAACACTTACTCCTTCTTATAATTAAGCTGTAAGTAGATTCTGTAAATGGTTTACTTTTATGAAAAATTAAAGAACCTTAAATAAAGCAAACTATACCAAGAATATACCCATAACTTGACAAACTCCAGTATGTAATTAATGGGTAAACTGAGCTTCAGCTAAGCCTTTCAAAGGTTGGTTAACAGTGTGAGCCTCATAAATGAGTTGTGTCTGTCTTCATTGTCTTATCTGTTAACCTGGAAACTTAGAAGCTGCGTGGGCTGAATCCAGTTTGTCTCTCCATATCACAGGCAGCCATTGAGTGCATACTTAATCGAAAAAGATCTGTAAAGGATCTGCTCCCATTCAGTACAGTCTCTAAAACACTTTCCAGTGGTTTGACATATGTAAAACATAGTAGTTGTGTACTACTATATATACTGTAGCAATCAAAACTATAAAGTGGCAAAATGGGGCAGAAGGTGGGAGAGGGGAGGCAAATGAGTGCATTGCCTGTTTTCCTTAGTGGCAAGAAAAAATTTTAAACAATATCAAGAAATTAATCCCACTCCAACAAGAAGTGGAAAAGCAAACAAACAAACCAACACACGCACACCCCACCCCACCCCCCAAAAAAAAAGTGCCTTACCAGTGCAAATTAGAAGGAAATTCTCACTGAGTAAATTTGGTGATAGGT